CGGCCCGCCCGGAGCCGGCGGGGCGATGCGCTGCGGGAACGGGACGGGACACGCGGGGATTGTCCCACTGCCGAGGGGTCGTGTGTGTCACCCCCCAGCTTGGGGCACGGCCACCCCGGCCGGCCGGGGCAGGGGGCGGATGTTCTGAGAAACCTCAGATCCCACCAGTTTCACTTACAAAGTTCATATTCACGTGTTTTTTTCCCCCCCTCATTATCCCCTTCTTCGGAGTCTGCACCCAACATCGAAGTACTTTGTGGGTGGAAACTGTAGGTATGTGCAGAAACAACTACAAAACCCAGGGCTATTCAGTCAACAACAAGCAGAAGCCTCAAGGTGAGCAGGCTTTATTAGCCATGCTCACCGCACGCGGAAACAACTCGTTTTCACAGTTGGGTTTTTTTGAGATTTAACTCATCCCGATCTGTCAGCTTCCCGCTTGCAAGATGAAGGGTGGTGGTGCTCCCTCTTTGGGCATCACATATCCTCAGCTGCTGTTTCTGCCGCTGTTGTGGCATTTAGCCGTTGTGGTTACACGTAACCAATTGGAATAAAGCAAAATGCAGAATGGGATCTTTTTCCTGAGAAAACTGCGGTTAGAGCGTGGTTTGTGTAATGAGTAACGTGGTATTCTGGGGGGGGGTTTGTTTGTTCTCAGGTTCGAATATACGCACAAGAAGCAGACGGGTGGAGCAGGCCAGTACGGCAAAGTTATAGGCGTTCTCGAGCCCCTGGATCCAGAGAACTACACAAAATTAGAGTTTGAAGACAGAACCGTTGGCACAAATATTCCAAAACAATTCGTGCCTGCTATTGAAAAGGTACAATGCGTGTTGTGTGTGCGTACGATACAAGGAAGACCGATTCTTGTTCTCCTGCTGTGCCGTCCACATTTACTGTGACTGTCTTGCCCCAAGCAAGGAGGCTTTTCCCATTACCTCAGTGGAAGCAGAGTCAAATTTGTGTGGCTTTGCTTAATATCTTACATTCCGAGGTTTTCCACTTAATTTGGAAGCTGCTGTTTGTTTTCTTTGGTGCCGTGTGCTCGCTCTATTTCCACAGCAGCGCCACGGTGCAGACACTGAGCTTTCCTCTCTTGCAGTCAAACAAGCCTCCTCCTGTTCAGTCTGCTTTTTAATGGCCCTCTTCTGCTTTTCTTTGCGGCCTCATGATTCTCATCTCTAACCCTGAAATATGTAACTGTTTTTGTGACTTCTCTGAGGCCAGTTATGTCGGAAACTGTAATTAAGCTAGATTTCCTGCATGAATTACCACATATTCTTTCTTTTTCTTCTCTTCTGTGGGCTTCCTCTGTGCCCGTCTCTGTAACTGTATCATTTATCACGTACTACTTTAAGTAGTACCTCGCATAATCTTTGAATTTCTATAATAATCGATCAACCGAAAAGAATTCCTTCGTTATTCCATGATGCAACACTAAAAGATTTTTGCCAAATCCTGGAAGAAGCATGCGTTCTTAAAGGAAACTTGTTCTTCAGTCGAGTGGTTAGAGTCGTTCTTTCCACATGGAGCGTTCTTTCAGTTTTTGGTCGTACGGTCTCTTAAGAAAGCAAAATCCTGAGTGCATTTCTTTTTCTCTTCCTTTCCTTCTTACATGATTTGTGTTTTTAAAAAAATACCAGTACAAAACTGAGGTGCCAAAGAACGATATTACAAAGTTTTCAAAAGCTTGGGAATGAAAATGTTTCCCCACTGTTATTTTCTTCTGTCATCTTACCAAGCGAGAAGGTCCCTTGGGTAGATGGGGGATTGCTGGGTTTTCTTGTTACTGTTTTGTCCTTTTAAGTTTACTGTCTCTTACAGGCTGTTGTTAATGCTGCTCTTTTGTAAGCTTCATTTTGGTCTACAAACTGCTAACTTTGAGATGTTATTTGACAGGGATTCCGAGAAGCCTGTGAAAAAGGTCTAGTGTCGGGGCACAAGATATCTGGAGTGCGGTTCGTCCTAGATGATGGGGCCCATCACATGGTGGACTCTAACGAAATCTCTTTCATCAGAGCTGGAGAAGGAGCCCTGAAGCAAGGTATGAAGCCAGTCGTTTGAACACGTCACCCTGCTGGCTTCTTTATTGTTGGAACTAAATTTAACAAGCTCCTTTCTCTAGGTTTGTTTGTTGCCTGATGTAGCCATACATATATTTATTAAATATGTTTGGCTGGTTGTGTAGAGCAGAATATACGCAAGAGTTTATAGAAATTTTAAGAGAGGCACAATAACGCCTTTAGTTGTATGAAGGAAATCCTTTTTCCTAGAAAAAAGAAACGCCAACAGCTTCATCCTTACACAGGTATGAAAAGAACATTTTATCAAACTGCGTGTCTCCCGGCATTACCGTCTTGGGAATGAAAGGCGGGGGAGCGGGAGTTCCACACAGTCCGTTATTGATTTCCCCACTCACGTAAGAAACGTAGCATTTAACCATGAAATGCTTCTTTGCTATGCATAAGGGTATCCTGAATCATAGAATCATAGAATGGTTTAGGTTGGAAAGGACCTTAAAGATCATCAGTTCCAACCTCCCTGCCGTTATACCAGGTTTGTTCTTTGATGTTTGATTATTAAGTGTTTTTTTTCTCCAGCTATGGAAAATGCTGCTGTGCGTATACTGGAGCCCATTATGGCAGTGGAGGTGATGGCACCCACTGAATTCCAGGGAGCAGTGATAGCGGGAATTAATCGCCGCCACGGAGTGATCACAGGACAGGACGGCACAGACGGTTACTTTACTCTCTATGCTGAGGTTTGTGTTGTTCGCTGGTTCCTGACCTTTCCTTTTCCTGCCTTGCCTTTCAACTCCATTGCTGTTTTACTTATTGACTAATAGGTGTAAACCTGTAGCCAGGTTTTTCAGTGGATAAACACAACGTTAGATTTTCACTGGAGAAGCATAACATTAATTCTCAACTTGTGCAGTACTGGTGAACCGACTATAAACCCGTCTTGCTCCAGAGAAGCCAACTTACTAACCTAAAATCACACGGTGGCAGAGGAAGGAACAGAACTCAGGTTTCTTGAGACGGGCTGGCGATGCTGCCTCAGAGGGAAAGAAACCCGTGCGGCAGTACAGGTGCACAGAGTCCGGGGGAAAGATCCTTTTGTCCGCTGTCTTCCTTCAGCTGTTACCTGCATTACCTGTAATAATTGCAGATAAATGCGAGTGACTTGTCTTCAGTCCCTTCTTTTATGTCCCTTCTGAAAACATATTTGTCCTCATGTTAGGTCATATAGAAGTGTATATCAAATAGTGGTGGCAGCATACATCGTCTCAGCAAAGCCTTAGCTAACAACAAGCCACACACTGCGTCGATTCTGCTTTATAAATTGTGTCTAGCGCTGCCGTCCTGAGATCTTTCAGTCGTTACGATCTCTTGCCTGGTGACGCAGACTACTGAATTGGGGATGCTCTGCTATCTGGTGCATTCACACTCTCAGATTTTTAGGGTTTCCTGCTAAAAAAAACACTGTGAATATAAACTAGTTGAAATAAGAGGTACTTTAAAAAAAATAGGTAATTAGATCAGCACTGTTGACAAAGAGCAGCAGATTTTACTGAATCTTTACATTGTAATTGAGATTAATTGGACAATAACCCAAAGCTGATGGAAAAATACCTTTTTACAAGAATAATATGCTTGGATTTTAGGTGCCGCTGAATGATATGTTTGGATATGCCACTGAGTTGAGGTCTTGCACAGAGGTGAGTACTCTCAGTACTTTTTGCCAGAACATGTTTATTTCTGTAAATCGAGTGTGCTAATTTGCATCATCGTACACACAGCATATGCAGCAGTAAAAGCGATAAAAATCAAACCGAATGCAGAATAGGAAAACAACCTGAGAGTTTTTGCTGTTACTTCAACTGCTTTTAATTACCGTAGCCATCATTAGCTGTGTCATTTCTGGCCAAAAAATTCTTTTATACTTTGAGGAAGAGATTCAAATTTGCAAGTAATACAAAGTGATAGGTATCAGTAAAAGTATTAAATTCACAGGCTGGGAAAGTTGAAGCATTAAGTTACAAATGTCTGCAAGTAGATGAGACTTTTCACAGCAGTACTCACGTTATTAAGGTGTCCTTTTTTAAACATACATATGCTCAATGAATGCATTTGAATTGGGTGAGTTTGTGTGTTATTTCACAGATTAGGGCATAGTCTTCTGCTAAATAGGTTTCCGTGTTTCGCATCCTCACTTTGACTCTTCTTTTCCAACTCTACAGGGAAAGGGTGAATATACGATGGAATACTGTAAATATCAACCATGTTCGCCCAACACTCAAGAAGAAATTATAAACAAATACCTCGAAGCAACGGGACGACTTCCTGCAAAAAAGGGCAAAGCCAAGAGCTGACTTTTTTCCTCTTGAGTACATTGAACAGTTTTTCACAATATTCTCTAGCAGCTCGGTTGCCCCAGCGATAGGAGCGATCCAGGCTGGCTGGATACGTGCAGGCTGCAGCGGGACTTGGGCTTGTAATTTCATCCGAATCTCCTTCCTTTGTGGTATTCTCAGAAGCCACCGGGAGATTACAACGGAATTGTTCCCATGTAAATGCCACTCATTAACAAAATATATCAATGTTAAAACACTGATCATAATTTGTCTTGAAATTTGTCTTAATCCATTTGTATTAAAATAATTTTATTTTGTTTACTTGATACATCATTATTTTGTAATTAGGCTCGTTACTGTTTCTCTGGTTTATGAATTTTAAATTTTTAAGAATTTTAGTTAAGGAGATTAACTGCTGGACAGGCACGGGGGTGGACGGTCGTCCAGTACGGAGCAGCGTTCACATACGTGCTCCAAGCACAGATCCTTTAGCTCCTGTGCTCAGAGCGCCCAGACCAGGGAAGGAACGTCGGCTTTCCCTCACTGTCCCTCAGAAACAACACTCGGAGCCTCCAAAGTCCCAATGAATATATATATATATATATGTAAGTTAACTCTTTCCAAAACTATAAACAATGTGGGTTAATTTTATGTGCTCGCTTTCTTGGCTCTTTCTTAGAAAATCAAAGAAAAGATTCCTTTTTCCAGAATCTTATAATCAAGCGGGCGTGTTGCTGATGATGCTCAGCTTGGGAATCGGCTGAATGGATCTTGCTTGCTCATAGAAGAGAGATAAAACCAGCGTGTTACAGTTCATGTGAGAAAGAGAAGATGCTCTCATCAATAATTTTTTTTAATTACTACCAGAAGATCTACGCTGAATTTTCTTTGCGTGCTCTCTCCTCCTGACCTACTCCGTTTAACAGCATTTTTGCAGACTTCCAGTAAACAGAGAATGAAGTTCCAGTTCAAAACCAGCTACATTCCTGGCACAGGGCTGCGGCTGATGTTTACCAGACGCAGACAGAGCTGCAGTGGCCGGGCTTCTTTTCCTCAACCCTCACGGAAAGACAGTGAAAATTATTTTAACCTTGAAAAAAGTACATTGTCAGAGATTTGTCAGGGGCATGGAAATGCCAACTAAACACTGGCATAATGGGGTGTACGAGTAGGATGTTGCTTTGGGCCAAATCCTTCTTGATTCCCTTAAATTTGGAGCTTTACTCCTGTGAAAATACCCAGCTGGAACTCGTTTCAAGAAAAGCCCTGCAGGTTCTCTGACATTTGGAGATTTTCTTAACTGAGCAAATATAGCACATTTACCAATATTCAAAGATGTCTTATAAAGGCAGTATGAATGCAAGACATAAATGAGGCGGTTATCGTTTTATTTACATTTATGGCTTTTATGTCATGCTTATTAGAAGCCAGTCACGATGTGAATTCCTGGCTAATGGGTTCTGCCGGCTGTGTGCTGGTTCTCCACAAGCGTAACGCAGCCCACGAGAGCACGGCCTCGGGTCGCTCAGTGCGGGGACGGCTGAGGCACAGCGTCGGGGCGAGGGAGAAGATCTGCGGGTAGGGGGAAGGCTCATGGACAGTGGGGGGCAGCGGGAGAAGGACAGAAGCATTAGCAGGAGGCTAATTTTGGGGCACCCTGGATTTAGTTTCTTTGTGTGCGATGGGCTTTTTTTCCTCTTGGCTGTAGAGCCTCTCCCAGGTAGACTCCGCGTGTGGTTTTCTCCCTGTGAACCCGTCTGAGCCTCGACTCGGATAATGTCTGCGTTGATTTAACCAAGAATCTTGGCTTGAGTAAAAACTGTATGATTCGAGGTTCTGATCCACTGCCTGAAATCTTGGCCCTAAAGAAGTTGGTGGAAGTTTTGCCTTTGAATTCCAACAGGTTTGCTACTTACCTGGAAGTTCTTGTGCAGTTTCTTAACTGACCTAAGCTTACGTTGCTTATTAGTAGTCAAATTTACACTGATCTGGCAAGTTCGGAACTGCCTGATCCTCTGTTCTAGGGCTGGAGAGCAGTGACAAGAACCAGGGAAGGAAACTAAACTTGTGGTCAAATGCATTGCTAAGGTAGAGCCCCAAGGCTATTTTCTTGTTTTATTTCTAAAAAAAAAAAAAAATTTGTCACCAATTTCTTTAAGAAATGTTGCCATTATAAGCTGTGCTTTCATGCTTTCGATGATGAGAAATGTTTTACCAGCACAAAGAAAACACCGAGAGTACGTGAAATGCTGCGTCACTGAATTTATTGTAATGCCTATTATGTGCTGATATAAAAAGCGTCAGTCAGTAAAAGTATATCAGACTAATACACTTGTGTAAAACACCTGAATCTGGGGGGTTAACAGATCACCCAGACTAAATATCCCCCAGTTAAAGCTTTCATGTTAAATACCGTAATCATCGTTACCAATTACAGATCAATGATAGCGCAATATACCATGAGTTATAAAGAACAATACCGTCGCAGAGGGCACAGACCGTGGCCTGTTCTCCTAAAGAAGGTGTGCTTATCGATAGGGCATTAATCTAACCTGGCAGAAATCTTCCTAATGGGGAAAAAAATTGTACAAACTGGAGAGAGTTTGGCACAATCTCAGCACACAAAGGCAGGACAGTGGGTCTGCTGTAAACCCAAACAGAGAATTTGGTGTGGAAGGAGAAAAACGTGTTCCCGCGGTGGGACTTGGTTGTATTTAGGATGGGTACGAGACATGGCGGTCATTGTCCCCACCAAACCCAAATGTGGAAATTCGTCTGCACAGAGCTTTCCTGTCTTTGCAGTTCTGTTTTCATTGAAGGTAATAGCAAGAACTGCAAATAGACTAAGACAACATCCTCCATTTCCGCCTGACAAACACTGCCTTGCAGCGTTCTGGACTGGTGACAGATGTGGGGAGACAACAAAACATGTTTTCCTTACATCAGTATTTTCTGAGTTGCCTTCACAAATATGAAAGACGACACTTATTTTTACGTAATCTCCCGCTGCAGGGAACAGCGGTGCGTCAGCGGGACTAGCGCTGTGCGGGTGCTGGTTACGGGCTTCTGTAGGGCCACGTGGGGAGACGCTTCGCTGCCTACGCTCATCCACATCCTCCTAAAGGCCAGACACTGGGAGAAGATGGAAAGTTGGGGTCAGACAGCAGCATCGTGAAAGAAAACCCAACCTCGGCCCGGCATAATGGTATTTGTTTTATTGGAGACGTAAGTTAAAAAGCAGCCTGTATCCATCCCAAACAATAATAAAAAAAAATTTAGTAGACAAATATTTCTTAGTGACAGATTAATACTTTTCTCAAGATTTGTATCAAATATATTAACTTTGCTTACAAACTACGTTACTGTAAGTAACAGTATGTTAGAGACAAAAAATCAACTTGTGTATGTTTATCTGTGCATATATGTAGTAACAAAGTTTTTCGGTAGAACTGTGTAACAAGTCTTGCAGTTTAAGAAATTAGAGGAATTAATTTTGGAACAAAACAGACTAGTGAAAGCATTCAAATTCACTATTTGACTGGTATAGAAGAATTATCACAACTCCAGGTCTATTAACACAAGGATTTTCTCATTTAATACGTTTACATAAAGGTGACAATCTCTTTTAAAAATTTTCATGTAAAATCCCAGCAGCTGATCCAGATTCCATTCCAGATCCATCTTCGAGCCCCTGATTGTCTGAAGCACAGAAGTATTTCACTTTCAGAGGGTGACCAGGAAGCCAAGTGAGGCGCATATGACATGAAATAATTTCCTGGAGAACAGATTTAAAAATACACATATTTTATCATCTTTTTTATGTTCCTCTGTTGATGAAAGAAGGTATTATACACATATGCTCTCTTACCTGTGTTGGAATTTCATGGAGTAGGACAGTGTAGTCAAACTCAATAAAATCATCTTTCCTTATCTGGGCATGTATCAAAAAGAAAAAAAGTCATCAAGAACACAAGTTATATTGCTGAAGTTTAGAGTCTACTCTGGTTTACTTGACTGCATTTAGCTTGCTCAGGGAGCGAGATGAATAGGGCTCGAGATGGCTGTGGTGGTTGGCTGAAGGGAGACAGGTTTTTATGTGGAGAGACAGGGAATTAGGAGCGCTTCCCGCATAAAAACGTGGAAGGTGGTAACTGCAGCGGGGCTCGGCAGTCGGACTGTTCTCTCACATGAAACTAGGCTGACTGAGAAACTAATTAATTCAGTTTAACCCTCAAACAAATGTGAGAATCTAACCTGACTATTAACCTCCCTTCAGAGAAATCTCGTTCTAAATAACAAGGGAGTAAAACCCAAATGCTGTCTATCGATCACGGGTGACTGAGGGAAACAGAGCTTTGGGAACTCCTATTCTATACGCTGCAGCAGTAATGTTCCCCAGAGAGCGCACCTCAGGTGCTAGACTGATGCAAACAAGGAAAACCAAATTTTGTCCAAATGAGTAAAATTATTCCACCAAAAACTCAACAAAATACTTGTCCAGAGGTGGAGATACTTGTACGGAGAAGCCACAGAGATTTTTAGGAGAATTGCACCCATTACAGACAGGGTGAGCTGTTGATGGTTGTTTTATTCTCTGCTGCTTGGTCGACTCTGTCTGTTAGCTTCTGTAACGCAGACATGTCATTTCCACTTCACTTACCCACTGCTTCACAGACTTGACTTGTGCCACGAAGTAACCCAAGTTCTCTGTTGACTTTTCCCACATGATGTAACTGCTGCCAGCAACAGCCAAAGCCCACGCTGGCTCCAGGGCAGGTTCAATATTGCCATAGCTGTCTGCGAGGGAGAAAGAGTAATAAAAAAATGATTAATTCTGGCTGTTCAGCAGAAAAATGATATACCACAGAGCACTTCTGCCTGGCGCAGTTCTGTTCCTGGGAAGCGACTTCCCTCCGACGTGTTACAGTCTTGAACAGGGAATCGAACTTGCCAAGAGACATTATTCGTAGCCTCCCCACAAGGAGGTGAGAAACCCAATATCCGGGCTAACGGAGGTCCTTACCTAGCTGGGAGGAAAAGAGGCACTGGGGCACTCTGTTTCCAGGGTGGAAAAAATTCTGTTAGTCATCCCTTGTGAATTTCCAGCCGCCACGGGGGAAGGTGTGTGGGTTAAGGCAGTTGTTATTACTTGAGGACATTTTGCATTTACTTGAATATAAAATTGCATAGGTTTGCTTTTAAATCCAAAACACCTTCACAACACTGTGTTGACTACCACTGTCGATCAACACAGCAGGTTTGTTTTCTCCCCAAGAATCGCTGGCAAGGTGGAATTATTTTGATAGTTAGCCCTACGGTTTTAGGGTGCTACTGTAAATATACGTGTCTCCTTTTTAAAATGCGTGTACATTTGCTTGTGTTCTTAAAAGTGCCCAGAGCCTTTGAGATAAAATGAAATACAATGGATTATTTGGAGGAATATACCTGGAATATTGTTTCCAATTATTGGTTTGGTTTGATGCCTAATTTTTTGGTAAAGTCTGTTGTCGTCCTCCTGGATTTGCTTCTGGTCTTTGGTGTGCATGCACTTGATACTGACAACAGGCGGAGACTTTGTCTTGGGATACAACACTGTAGCAAGGCAGCTCCCGGCATTTTCCTGTAAAGGTGGGATTTAAAACAGTTATCTTTAATTGAGATTTTATTTACCAGCAACACAGTCTGTAAAAAGCTCTTGGTAGTAACATGTGAAGTATACAGGTAGAGTACATACACGTCTTCATCAGACGCTTTGTATGAAGCTGTACAGGGGTCAAGATGGTCTTTAGATGGATGTAATTTTTTTTTTCCAGAAAAGTAAATTGGTTAAAACCACAAAGCTAAAGTGACTTAACAGAAGTTTTTAATTAAAGTGCAGCAGAAATGCACTAATTCATCTTGGAAATATGTTTGAGACTTCTCAAGAAGTAACATTAATTGATAACAGGGAATTTCATTGTATGATACTTCAGCCTTAAAAAAATAAATAATCTAGTGCTTCATATTAAATTCTGAAAAAAATGTGAGTTTCATAAAACGTGTGTAATGGAAAAGCAGATGCTTACAGTCAAATTGGTAATGACAACTGTCTGACAGAATGAATGGAGAGGGGGGTTTATAATTAAAAAGAACACACAACTGTCATCTCTTTATTCTCATTTTGGTGTGTGGACACAGCAAGAGCTACAGCTGGATAATGAGGACCGTGCTGTCACACTGAGCTTGCACCATTGCAAAGTTCCTCTCAGGCGCTTGGTTGCCTGACGTGACTTAAACGAGACAATCTCTTTGGGCACTGAGCAAAGCAGGTAGCTGTGGTGCTGCAACCGCTGGGACCCCGACGCAAGCGGAGGACTGATGAGGGGAGACACTCGGGCGATGCTAAGACCGAACCATGCCCCATGCGGGACCGGCAGGTAGAAGCATAAAGGTAAGTCTTTCCATTGTCAAAGATCCATTTACGAAAGCCCTTAAATCTACCCTGTTTTGGAGATGCTGAAGTTTGTTTAACGCACACTGTCAGAAGAAACATGGAGGACCATAAACTCACCCCGCTGTTGTAGTCTTCGGTGGTGAACTGCAGGTAATACTTGTGCCCAGCGTCTGGGATGCTCTGGAAGAGAGAAGGGTTCGGCCGTCAGTGTAACTATGGCCTTTACGTACTGTACCTTGCTGAGGTGTTGCCAGGACCGCTGCGGAGGAAAACGAGGGTGCCATGGCTCCCTCATGGCCTTGCAGCATCAGGAAAGTGGTCAGATGAGATGACTGAGACGACCCTAGCAGCAAACACAAGGTGTCTTAACAACAACAATAAATAACCTTTACATTAAGGGATTTTAAAGCCTTTCCTCACAGAGATATGCAAGAAGAAAAATGCAGGTTAAAGTCCTACGCAGGACAGATTGATGCTGAGTAACTTTAATAAAATTACGAATCGGTGTTCAGCTTCCAAGGAGGTATTTTTTGCACAGGCTATCAGAGTGCCCTTGGATATATATATGAATCAAATCTTGCTGACCAATTCACAGCTGAACCGGAATTACACAGGATAATTTAATCTTAGGGACGCGAACCATTCCAGTTCTTTTTTCTGTTGTGACTGGAAAGAGACTAATTTTGCTACACAGCGTGTCAGAGCGGGATTCTGTCCTGTCTGCTTTGTTTCGCCCTGAAAATACCAGTCATTAAGTTGCCCAATCAACTATCTGAGATTGTGCTTGTTAAGGAAAAATAAAAGAATACCCCTTGCTGAAGGGAAGCAGCCGGTAGCACTTCTTGTAGCACAAAACATCAGAAAAGCCTTGGAAACGAACACCTTTGAAATATGTAATTTTCTTGGATTTTTTTTTTTTTTTTTCCTGTTGCTGACAGAAATGGTTCAGTTAAATTGTATTTTTGGTGTGGGATATCGCAGACTGTCCTGGCCGCAAGCGTGCTGAAACAGAAACTGGCTTTTAATGTTGGCCATGGAAAATATTAATTACCCCGAAACAGGATCAATGTCTCATTGAACAGTGTAAGAGCAGAGCCTCATAAAAAGTATTTGCATTATCTGCTCTTTACTTCATTAGTCAGGCTCATATTTTCCTACCAACTTTTACATTCACTTTTGAAATTTATTTATTTTTTAGTGGGGAGTCCAAGGAACAAATAGTGTGGAAAAGGTTATATTTATTCAACCAATTGCTTGTAAAACAACATTTTGTGTCGTTTAACTGTTTGGTACATTTCCAAGCCTTTCCTTTGGTTAAATTGGCCAGAAATAAACGAAAGAAAGTAAGTCTTTTTGTGTGCTTTACTGTAATTTATAAGACAAGGTTTCTGATACACAACCCATGTCACTTCTGTGTCTGAAAGTTTGTTCCTTTTGCCTATATTACCGGGTTTAGTACGAGGCATTCTCTCTTCTCACAAACCTTTTCTATTTGCTACTGATGTAGGGATTATTGTCACATAGGGGAACGTGTGAGACAGCATGTAGAAAATGCATGTTACAGGAGAATGCAAACTGCCTTTTAACGTGTACATTTAAGTCAAATCACTGTATTCCAGCAACAGCACTGATTTGTTAGTCTCACTTGGTTTTAAATACAATGCTCTGCAGATAAACAGGAGGGGAATTCTGGCTGTTTGCACAATTTTGAAGATTAGAACCCAAAGCAAACGTGCGCATGTTTTATTTATCTAAACTTGGGCCTTTGTGTTCCCATCACACGTTCTTCCAGGAAGCCATTAATAGCATAATGTTAGCAAAGTTTCATTGTGAGGGCAAGGCCATCAGCCCAGCACCTGCCTTTAGTACATACACGGCGTTATATGCTGCAGATAAGAGGCCAAATTGGTTTAGTCACTTGCTCTGCTTTCACGAAACCCCCTCTTGAAGCTTTACAAGGAGGCCAGTCTGGAGCTGGACCCAGTTGACACCGCGAAGGGAATGGAGAGAGGAGAAACTAAGCTCTGATTTAAGGGATGACAGTGGATGGGGTTTCCTGCTGAACCTTTTCCTCAAGGGGCACAGCACAGCAGCCTGACTGCACGCTCCCAGTTACAACATCAGGGTCTTAACCTCTGTAACAGAAGCTCTTTCATAGTGAAGCCAGATCTTTTCTGTCCAGCATATTCAGTCATTTAAAATATGTTCAACTTTTCTTCCAGTATTATTTGTTCTTGCATTGGTGTCACCTGTTCTCTCTGCTAAACAAAACCAAATCATTTTTAAAGCTGTGGTAACTTTGAGAATAGTTTGTGATCGGATTCTGACAAAGTATCTCAGCAGTTTCATTGCATTTGCTTGATATTGAGCGCTAATGACGAAAACAAAATCAATTGGGAACTCATAAACCTATTACTCTGTCTCTGATTCTTCTCAATAGAAGGATATAGAAAAGCTACATGAGTAATGGCTAGGTAAATACTCACTTTAAAAAGAATACATAATTCTGTGCTTATGTGGTTTTTGAAGTAGATGATACTCTCTGTTCACTTGCAACAACTCCAGCATTGCAGTACTACTCCCCCAGAAAGCTTTCAAGAGGCACTACACAGCTAAAATATATATTCAGTACAGGTATGCATAGAGCTTCTTTGATCTTACCAGGGAGAGCAAGAAGGTATATCTGGCATGAAATCATTTTAACTTCTACAAAAGTATTTCTAGTTTCTAAGAAAAACATCACTTCTATTTCCACTATTATTTGCCACTATCATCCCAAAACGCATCACTGTAAACCACCACAAGTGTGAGGTAAATAAGAGCTCAGGAATATTTGACATCAGACAATGATGGCTGGCTGAAAGCAGCCAAAGATAAAAGTGTCCAAAAGAGAAGAAAACAAGTGAGTAATTCATTTTTCCACTGAATATCTGGGTCACGGGATTGTTTTATTTCCGGGCTCAAAATTAATGCAACTTCCCCGACAGATTTTTAGGACTGCGACGGCCAGAATAGCAATGTAAGAGCCGTCCATTCCAGGTCCCAAAGGAGGTGGTTTTGCAATTGGTTTACACTGCTCTAACTCCCCACTGGCACAGAAAGGGGCGATCCCTCTCTCGCCCCTTGCTGCGGGTTTCCATCGCTTCACCTCTGGCTTTCCCCATCATCATTTCCTCCCTGGGACCAGTTTTCAGTCGCTGGATCAGAGGGCTGACCTGTTCGCTAAGCGTGGAGAAGCTGGCACTGCTGGAAGAAGAGCGAGAGAGGTGTCCTTCGGGGACTTGCCTAGGGGGATCCCCACCTCCCAGCCCCACCACCACCCCTGCCAGCCAGCCCAGGTGGCCTGTGGCTTCTGGAGATGGCTGATCCACAAGCAGCCAAGTGAGCTCTCAGGCCACCCCAGGCGGGAGGGAAAAGCCAGCAGAGGTGGCTGTTTTCTCTGCCTCTCTCTATCTAGCTTTCCCTAGACAATTTACCTACCCTGCCACTGATTTTACCTTCCACACCCTAACGTGGGGTCCTGCCTGTTGGAAAGAAGTAGAAATCTTTTACCTAACTTCTAATTTTAGGACCACAGTCCTGATATTAAACTGTTTCGTATCAAGATGAGCTTATGAAGAGAAATATCCATCTGTAAAATTGTATTTTGTGGTCCCATTTAAGCGAACCTTGCCCAGAGATTACCGAGCTCTACCTTTACACTTCAACTCCTGGTTCACCTTCCTACTGTCAGTTATGATTCCCAGCACAGCTTGGTATGGCAGACTGCTACGTCAGTGTTTTGAAAGTTTCTCTCTTGAATTCTAGGATCTTCAGCTGGCACCCACTAACGCTTCTCTTCTCAAAAATGTATTTTAAAGTGCAGCTGTCAACAATTCCATGAGTTGCATGCTGCTGTTTCCTAGAAGATACTCACTTAAGTTAAGAAAAAACCCACATCAATGAGAAGGGACAACAAAAAGAAAAACTGCAGCCAACGGCAAGGTAGGAATTAGTACGTTTGGCATATCTCTGCTATTTGTTGCTAGGAGAGCAACACTGAAGTCTCGTTTTACCTGAATTTGAAATATCCTTCACATCAAACAGAGTTACCGTACTGGTGACTGTCTCCAGTCCTGTTTCTAATTACCACAGTTTCACTGGCTAGTGGGCTAATAATGTTAGTTTTAAAATACAATGTTCATGATTAAATTCCATGATATAATTATCCTATTTTTACTAGATCCAGTAATATACTAACCATCAGGAAACTAGCCTTCTTTAAAAAGAAAAAAAATATTAAAAAAATCACCCCAAACCAAACAGACCCCCAAACCCCCAACATTTCTTTCTCTTGCACTCACATAATATAGCACATTCCTTCCAGGAAATTCTTTTCATTTTTTTACAGTGGAGGACAGGAAAGAAGGAAGTGACCATGTCTAGTACATTTCTCCTCTTGTTTTCACAGAGCATGCAAAGAAAAAGGGGAAATAAACTTCAGACAGGGGTTACAGCAAGCTCCTACAGCATCAAGTACTGTGAGGAAATAATAAGGCATTTCACTTCTCTATAAGAAACCAACTTTTTTCTTTCCCATATTAAAAGGCAGGTGGCTGATGGTGGAAAAAATCCCCTCGCCTCCCCACAACCAAAACTACCTTGCAAATACTCAGTTACGCTGGGGTTGGAAAGAGGATCTGCACTGATCTTGTACTTCTGATATATCTCTTTACAAGACCAGTGCACTGCTTCCAGTAGCACACGCTGCTCCCAGAGGCTATGCTGTAGTTCTTAAAAGAGGCACAAGCGTTCGTATATGTAAATATATACACATGCGCATAATCCAATAAATACAACAAGAGCACTTGTAGGTTTCGAGAGAAGTATCCAATATCATAGTAAATTTCTGTCACAAATGTCTGCAGCGATTTCATAGAAAGAATGAAAAGCCACACTAGAACATCCATCCTCAGCACCAGTCACATTATATGTTTACTGAGGTTTTTGGGATTGATGATGAGTTTAGGTAACAGAGTTACCTAAAGGCTACGGTCTCAGATAAATCTGTAGCAGGACATCGTGTTTGCATTCCCAGGCAGGCAGCACGACTGACGCTATCTTTCAGACTTGCGTTACACAAAGTAATACACAAATTCCAAATTGTTATGCAGTAGTTCGTGTTTTGCCAAATTTAATTGGAAATTATTCTGGTCTGTTAAATATTGTGTGCAACTCAAACAGGCTTCAAATTGGTTTTGGAACCACTGTCAACTGGGATATGAGTGAAAGACTGAGGCTCAAGTTCAATGTTGT